GTGCTCACAAGCAGGTGAACACCAAAAACCTGCTGTAGTCACCGTGGCTGGCTGGCCTTGGGACCAAAGTGTTTGGTTGTTTTACCTCTGTGGAAGAGCAGGTGGTGATGCTTTCCAAACTCAGGCTTTGCTGCTCCTTGGCTTTTATTTGGATAAAATAAAATTATTCTCCAATAAGTAATTTAATTATGAATCAAATTAATTCAATTAAATTAGTTTATGTTAGAATTAATTAAATTAAATTAACTATTTCATTAGTATCCAATAAAATATTTAATTTTTTATTAAGACAAAATTTTATATATTATTATCCATATATCCATTTATCATTTGGATAAATGGATATATGGATAACCCTCCCAAAAACTGTTTTATCCTCTCACAACCCAGCAGACCAAGCAGGGATCTCAGTGATCCCATGGGAGCTCCTGAAGAAGCTCTGCCTTGTCTGTGCTGGATCCAGCAGCACAGGGGATGTGTCAGACTGAGGAGAAGGGGCAGCATTTGGAGGTGTTCCTCAGTGTCCATAATTCTGGGATTTGTTGCAACCTGACAGGATAAAGCTGGGATTTACTAGAAAATGGGGAGATTCGACTTGAAAACTTGGGCAACAGGATTTGTTTGGCTTTTTCCTATCAAATTTGCTGCTGAAACAGCAAACAGAAACCTTTCTGTTGTATCACCAGAAAAAAAAAAATCTCTAGGTTGTAGTTCTTGTGCTTTTAGGAATGGAAAAGCCTGCAGCTGTCTCTGGCTGCTCAAAAGAAGCAAATGTGAGACAGATCTTTCCTGGTTCTGTTTTTGTGGCTCTGCTGGGCACTTTCCCCTCCTCTCCTGGCAGCAGACTGCAGAGGAAAGGTCAGGAAGTGCAGAGCTGGAGCCCTTCCCCAGCCACCCTCCCCGGCTGCTCTCCTGGGTGACGTGCTGGGGATGTGATGGGACAGATGTCACACCACGACAAGCCCTTGCGCTGATCTCTGGAGAAGTTCTGCGTGCTCTGAATGTCATTTATGCAACAGAGGAATAAAGCTGTGATTCCCTGGCATTTTAGGGAGCTTCTGGCATGTCCTGGGCTTGTCTGGTTCTCTGTTGGTGCAGAGATGTCAGACAATACTTTTCTTTTTATTTAGAGATGGGGTAACTGAGATGTGTTTCAAAAAATTTTATTCTATTTTTAGTTTCATGAGAAGGGTGAGACAGTAAGATGTTATAATTCATGCTATCACAACCAGAAGCCAACTATTTCCTAATTACAACACACTATAAGTGCTTTTTTGGCCTATCAGTTTTTTACCACACTATACTGTAGATGCCTTAAAGCCAATCATCTCAAACTACCCCTCAAGAAAATAACTATTCCTTAATTACAACCCACTGTAAGTGCTTTTTAGCTTATCAGTTTTTACCACACTATACTGTCGATACCTTAAAGCTAATAATCTAAAACTAAAATTTGTAAACCTTGTACGAAGGTTTAAATCTAAATTACCATCTAATCATCCAAAACTACCCCTCACAGGTCTTACTACAATGCGTCTTTCATAGTTGTATTTTTCTAAAATATCTAGTCTTATTTGTAAGACCATCTTTTGGAACTCTTTTTTAGCTGTATTTCTCTCTCAACAATATCTGTCTTATTCTATAGCATTTCTAAATCAGTATTTCTTATCTCAAAGTTTATATACAGATACATACTGTGTGAGCTTTTTGTCAAGCCCTGAAAACTCTTTACAAATCTATTTCCCACACTGAGATAATTTTGGCATCTCCCTTGAACTGAATCAAGGGTTTAAAGAAACTGAAAGAGTTAAAAGTCCAGCCAGATTCAGTTAGGGGGAATAGAAACAATTAAGAGTATAGCAAGAAGAGCAGAGATAATAAGGGATAGATAATTATTAGCAGATGGAATAGTTAAGATATAAATCAGGTATTTGTCTTCACTGTGTTTAAAGAAGCAGGATGGGATGTGGATCTGATTGTGAAAAAGAACAGGCCCGTGGCTGCACCGGGGCCCTGAACCTTGAGCTACAGCCAAGGGGTCCAAAGCCACCAACAAGGCAAAGGTAAAGGCTCACTGTGACCTCAGGAGACCAAAGACCCATTTCAGACCCACCAACCCATTTCAGACCCACCAATGACCCATTTGAGGTGAAGGACTGCACAAGTGTGAAAGAACTTTGGGCTCATTTAAATACATTTTAATATGAAATGGTGTGGGCAGGGTTAGGTAATGAATTTGTATCAGGTGTTTTGGGAATTATATGAATATGTAAGACTTTTTAGATAAATAGAGAGCTGGAGCTTCCTTCCTTCCTTCCTTCCTTCCTTCCTTCCTTCCTTCCTTCCTTCCTTCCTTCCTTCCTTCCTTCCTTCATTTTTCTCTCTCTCTTTTCTCTCTCTTTGCACATGCCTTTGGAAATTATTCTGCTTGTACCCAGTGCTGTAATAAACATTCCACTCTTCAACTTTAATTAGCTGAAGACTCCTCTGTCCGTGCTTCAGGACGTGTTCCCCCTCTGCCCTGGCTCCTTGGGGCACTGCTCCTCTCCCAGGACCCTTCTGGCTCCTCTGCAGCCCTGAGGAGGCTCTGAGGGCCTGGGGAGGTGCCCGGGTGTTGTTGCCCTGCCGTGGCCATGAGCAGGGGCTGCCTGGCTGTGCACACAAAGCACAGGAGCTCTGCAGGGCTGAGCAGCACCCCTCTGCTCTGCCAGACCCCCTCTGGGCTGGCACTGCAATCCAGCCCACTCCCAAACAACTCACCAGGCACCACAGAATGGTAAATGCTTGGGAAGGGGGAAAAATAAAGGCAAGCAGAGCAGCACTCACCAAGCTCTCTGTACTCCCCATTTTGGATTTCCCTTTCCTTCAAATCAAACAATGCAATTCTGAAATCAGGTGTTCTCTGACAGAAGGGCACAGAGCACAGTGCCACTGAGCAGATCTGAAGGGCTGACCCTCTCACAGAGGGCTGGCCATAAATAATTTGCTTAGTGGTTGTACCTAAAGGATTAATCCTGAGATAAGGAGACAACTTTGAAAGGTGGCCTTCAAATTAATACAAGCAATGGAGGAACATAAGATCTGTCAGGCTGGATCAGGCCCTTCTTGCTTAGGTTTATGTTGTGATTTAAAACTAAAATAGCTGCTTCTTCTGAGCAAAGTAGGAGCACTTAATGGAAGGGCTCACCCACATGTTGTATCTTCCCTATCTTTAACAATTAACATTCAGTTTCAGGCCTGATGAACAAAGAACCCATTTCTGTTGGTGTAATTGATACCTCTAAGTGCTCTATATTAATGTAAATGCTTTCAAATCCTCAGATTTCTCCTGTCTTGCTGAGCCTTGATTGTGCTTGAACTCACCTGGGACAAGGAGTGGAGACAGAGACACGGAATTCCTTGTTCATCCTTTAGAATCCCCACCTGTGTCCTCCTGGACTGTTCTCTTTTCTGGATATTAATCAGCAGAACCCCTCAATTTTCCTAAAGCACTGCCACATTCATTGCTTTAGACAAAAATATTTCCAGTTACGTTGCTTATGTCTCTTTTTGAGCACTAATCCAGTTCTTTCTGGTTCACCTTTATGAGCATTTTCCAGGTGTTTTATTGTTCCCTGGATCCTGCCCCTGTTTTGAGCCAGGGTGACACTTGCATGCATGAAATGAGATGAGACCTCTGCGTGTCCAAGGACATGGCAGATTCCTGGAGCCACTGGATTTTGCTGCCTTGTCCCAGCCCTGAGGAGCTGTGGCTGAAGGGGCAGGGCAGGAGTGTCTGGGGGGCTCAGGAATTCATCCCTGAGGGGTCTGAGCTGCTCCAGGAGGGAGGAGGATCTCTGAGTCCCCAGAGCTGCCTCTGCTGCTCCTCTTGCTCTGACATTCTGCTCTGGCTCCTTCCTGCTCTGCACCTGATTGATGCAATTTATTAAATGCCTCCCTGTTTCTTCTTCCCTGAGAGGGTTCCTTGCTCCTCTGGAAATACATTTTCCTTCCTGGATTTTGTGTAGATGGAGTTCTTTCACCATCCCAAGGCCATTTCTGCCTGGAGCTCTGGTTTCTGCTGGGACATCAGATCCAGCTGGGATCTGAATGGATTGGATCTCCCACAGCCAATCCTCCCTCCAGCAGATCTCTGCTGTCCATGGCCAGGGAGTGTCCCTGCAGGGCTGATCAAATTCCAGCATCCCATGGGGAGATGCTGTGCCCAGGGCAGGAGCCAAGCATTCCTACCTGGATCCAATCTGAGCCTGGAACAGCACAGCAGCCTTTGCCCCCTGCATTCCCAGAGGAGCAGCTTTCTCCTGCCCTGCATTGCCAGAGGAAGAGCAGGCCCATCTCCAGCAGCCCTGGAGCTGCAGAGGAAAACTGCAGCCTTGTGCAGGATCCCTGCTCCAGCAGAAGCACAGCTGGCACTGCAGGAGGGCTGAGCCCCCATGGGATGGGACTGTGCCACCCCCCTGACCCACAGGGGATAGCGCCTCTTCTGACTCTGTATGTGGTTTGTTTTCTTTTTTGTACTATTGCATTTTTCAAACCAAAACAGATGTCTTGGCTGGGAGGGACAGATACTCTGTGCTTGCAGAATTCCTGTGGAAGGCACAAGCAAGGCTGGAGGGAGGTGTGAAGTAGGATGGGGAATTCCGCTTTTTTCAAGCATTTCTGTAAATAAAAACCTACCCAGCTGTTCTCTGTGTGCCTACAAGCACTGCCCAGAGATGATCCTCTCTCCAAGGAAACACTGGGAATAAGAGCCAGGCCAGGTTGGGTAGGGCTTGGAGCAACCTGGGATAGTGGGAGGTGGAATGGGATGAGCTTTAAAATCCTTTCCAACCCAATCCATTCAATGATCCACTGATTCTAAGTGTTCAGCTCTTCTGAGAACCCTCCCCAGCCACTCCTTTATCCCTGTTTCTGTGGAGATCCTGGTGTTTTCACTCCGTGGCCCACAGCTGGAGTATTTATCAGGAGACAAACAGGATGTGTCCCTCCCTTCCCTCACTGACAGCACACATCTCAAACTGGAGCAGATACAGAGCTTTTATCCTGACTCCGACTGTCAAATGTAAGAATGCTTTTTGATCCACTTTAGAGAAAATCAAAATGTTTAATCTAGAAAAACTTGAAATGCATCATTAACCCATCCACCCCTCTTTGCTTTTTCTTACAGGACCAGTTGCTGGTGCAGTGGAGGTGCAGGTAGGTTTGATTACTCTAGTGCTGCATGTTTGGCGAGAATATTATTTCTTCCCAAATATTAACCTTCCTTCTTTGCTTGAATCTGTTGGTGACAAGCTCACACTGACACACATTACTGGCTATTGATTCCTCATTGAGATATTCTCAATTCTTCAGTGAGATGCTTTATTAGAATAATTGACTCCCTGTGAAACAAATCTAACAACCTTTAATGACATCTTGTGATGATATCAAGCAGTCACACCACTGTGGTGCTGCACCATGGTTCAAAATTGACTCTGCTCAGCAGTTTCATGTTTTATCACCTCATCCACCTCTTCCCTGGTTTTGCCAGAAATGGTAAAAAAACTCCTGAGTTCCCTCCATTTTGTTGTTTTTCTTATGCAAGTGAAGAAAGTTTGACCAAATTCACGGAGTTCTCAACCTTCCATTTTACTGGCTGAGGTCTGTTTGCATCTTGTAAACAAGATTTAATATTCTTTTAAAATTCTCTGTAGAGCTGAATTTATATTTCATTAAAGTATTAAGTCTTGTTTTGAGTTCAAATCCTTGGACATCCTGAGTTTGAGACTCCCACAGAGCTGCTGTAATTTGGGACAGGATATTCTCCTCCTGAGTTCAGCACTCAGTATTTCACTGGGGTTTTTGTAACTTGTTCCAGTGTTGGAAAACAGCAAAGACAAGTATTTGCTCTCCATTTCATTGCTCCCTCGGGACTCTGATTAACCTGCTGCTCATTCCTTTCCTGCAGTAAATTCATGGGTTTGTTCTTTCTCTGTGTAGGAGGAGGGGGAAAAAAAAAAGTCTTTACATCAGTGCTGTGTGAATTTCTGCCAGGCTGGTGTGAGCTGTTGTGGGCACGGGTGGGCAGCAGGCAGGTCCTGGCAGGGCTGAGGAGCCCTGCACTGCTCAGTGACACCTCCTGCTCCTCACACCCACCAGGCTCCTCTGGGCCACACAGCCGAGGGATGAAATCTTCAAGGACATCTTGTAATACACCGTTGGGCTGTAACACCTCTGTACCATCAAATGACTGATTTTAAAGCTGTCTGTTAAAGAGGAATCTCCCCCGGGCAGCCCCAAGCAAACCAAAGCACTGAGAGCCCTCTGAGCAGTGCAGGAAATCCACAGTGTGTCCCAGATCTTCATAAAAACAGCACTGAGGCACTGCCATGGATGCTTTGTGCAGGCTGACCTAGAGCAGAGGCTGGACAGAGTTAAAAAAAAAAAAAAAAAAAAAAGCTAAAACCCGAGGCATCACCATGATGCAGCAGGGCTGGGATGCTGGACCTTTGCTTGCTTCCAATCTCAACACACTCTCCCCAAATCTGTGCCCTTTCTCAGGGCTCCTGTTGGTCTCCTCCAACCCCACACAAAGTGCTGGGGGATGGTGCCACCACAGATGTCTGGGCTTTCTGCTTTGTTAAATTCACATCCATTATTTTAACATGCAAATTCCTTGGCTAGGAGAAGAAGGAAATGCACATTTCTTTTCTTGTTCATAATCATCTTTGCTAGTCATAGGGCAGTTGGAATAATGTGTTCTCTTTCAAATGAAAACAAAGGCATAAAAATAGAGCTTCAGAACTCAGAACAGTGGCAAGATCTTTAAATAAATCCCCTCAGAATACTTGATTTTCAAATTGGTTGCTTCAAATAGATTCACCTTCTCTCCAGAAGATGCTTTTATCAGATCCAAAACTAAAGGGCACTTAGTCAGAAGAGCTTTAGTGAGGCTTTTCTAACAATTGCCTGTTAGACCTTAGCCAAAATCAGATGTCTGTTTGTGCCTAGGTACATTCAGCTTCCTTTGCAGTTTTCCTTGGTGCAGTTTCATTCTTTGCAGTTGTCTCCATTCCTGGCCCCTGCTGTTAAATTGCTGCTGCATTTCCCTGCAGAGAAGGCTGCACTTTATTGATAGATGAAGTGATTCCAAATAATCCATTGTCCAAGGCAGTAACTATTTTTCTTTAGGGAAAGCCCCTTAGCTGCAATGTGCAGCTTAACAAACAAATAAAACAATTCCAAACTCACTTGTGGGTGAAAGAGGGGGGGAACCCCAGGATTAAATTGGTGGAGTGAAAGGAATACATGGTCTGGGCAGTGTGCACCACCTCATCCCCTCACACTGAGGGAGAGGGTCCCTGGAGCAGGCAGTGTCTGCTGACCCTCACGACTTGTGCTTGGCTTGCAGCAAAGCAAACATCCCTGGATGCATCCTGCAGGGAGGCAAATCCATCACAGAGATCACAGCCTGGAAATCTGGTGCCTGGAAAGCTGCCTCCTTGGGCACCATGAGGCACCCTGGGGACACCAAGGAATCTCAATCCCTGAATGTCTTGGTTTGAAAAGAGAGTTGGCTCCTGCCCTGGGCACAGCATCTCCCCATGGGATGCTGGAATTTGATCAGCCCTGCAGGGACACTCCCTGGCCATGGACAGCAGAGATCTGCTGGAGGGAGGATTGGCTGTGGGAGAGATGAAGGAAACTGCCCCATGAACAGCAGAGAACTGCCCAGCTCTGACAGATGGGGACAGAATGCACACAGCCCCATTTCTAACCTAGGACACTGAAGAAGAGCCCCTTTCCCTTTTCCCTGAGGCCAGTGAATTACCACGGAACTGGCCGTGCTAGCTCTGCTCTGTAATCCCTGCCTGCTCAAGGAACATCTTGGATGTGAGCAATGGAGCAGGTCAGGGAGCTGAGAGCACTGCCAGGCTGGCAGCGAGGATTTCACACTCGAGCAGATTGTTGTTGCCATTCCAGCACCTCCAGCATCGGGCTGGCTGGAGCATGAGTGCTGGGCCTTGGCAAATCCAGCTTTGGGTTCTGGCTCTTCTACAAACTGACTGTGTGAATTTTGGCAACTTGATTAATTTCCCTGAGTGGGATCCAAAACCTGGGGAGGTCAAGGGGAATTTTTTCTGGAGTTTAAATATACTTTAAATAGGCTCCTTAGGTCTGTGTTTCTAGTCTATAACATGGGAAATGTACTGCCTCTTCTTTATTGGCTGCAAACTCTGCATGACAGGGTTTGTTCGTGGCTGGGAGCAGAGCAGAGCCCTGATTTGGATTGGCATCCTGGAGGTTCAAGGCAAACAGAACCCGTAAGCACCCTGCAGATACAGGAACTCAGCTGTGGCAACCACCATCCTTCCAAATTCTCTGCTGCTCATGGGTGGGAATGCAGAACAGAAGGGCTTGGATGGCTCATATTTATCCACTGCAAAAATAAAACCACCCAAAGATAGGCTGGGTTAGCCCGAATGCAGGAGTTGCACTGGTGGTGAAATAACAGGGATATTATTGTGGAATCACTGAATTCCAGCATGGTTTGGGTTGGATGGACCTTCAAAGTCATCTCATTCCACCCCCTGCCATGGGAGGGACATCTTCCAATGTCCCAGGCTGCTCCAAGCTCCATCCAGCCTGGCCTTGGGCACTGCCAGGGATCCAGGGGCAGCCCCAGCTGCTCTGGGCACCCTGTGCCAGGGCCTCAGCACCCTCTCAGGGAGGAATTCCTTCCTAATCTTCAGTCCAAGCTGAATCTCTCCTCTTTCAGCTCCCCCTTGTCCCACCCCTACCAGCCCATGCACAAAAGGGCTCTCCCTCTTTTATAAGTCCCTGCAGGGACTGGAAGGCCTCAGTGAAGTCCCCCAGAGCCTGTTCCTCTCCAGGCAGATCAGTATGACTTCAGCACAAAGCAGGATTCCTGCAGGCATTCCCTGCTCTGCAAAAGGCTTTTGCCTCCTTAGGCAGAGCCAGCACAGCATCTCTCATGTCAGGGCTGGTTCCTCTCCTGCTCCATGGCAGTTTTCCAAGGTGGGGCTGTTTGCAGCTCTGCCTGCAGGATCTGGGAGGGCAGGAGCTCCTGTCTCTCCTCACTCTGCATCTCCTGCAGGAATCCACAATGCAACCTCTTCCCTCGCCTCCTGCACAGCCTGAGTGCCTCTGAACCCAGGGATGTGCTGTGCATTCCTGCATGGAAATGTCAGCCAATTCCCCTCATTCCCAGCGAGCTCAGGGCTGGGGACATCCTCACACGCCAAGTGGGTCACAACCCAAGTCCCCTTGTCACTCAAGGCCAGCAAACCCCTCAGTGCTGCTCCCAGGGGACAGGGCAGCTGTGGAGCTGGGCTGGGGCTCTGCCCCACGCTGGGCTGGGGCTCCACTGGGTCAGGTACAGATTTGGGAACTCTGGGATGGATCTGAGGAGATCTGGATAACAAATTTGGGGCTCCTCAGTAGCCAAGGAAAGGATTATGTGGGACTGGAGCAAGGGGTAGCTCCGGGCTCTGGAGCTTGGAATCTCTGAGGGGAGGGAGAAGGAAGGGCTGGGATGGAGAGGTGTGAGAATTTACAGGGGGTGGGCAGAAATTAGGGAGGCCAGGTTCACAGAACCACAGAATGACCAGGTTGACCTTAAACCAACCTCAACTGAGCCCTGGCACTGGTTGGATGGGCACTGCAGCCTCCTGACCCAGCGGGTGGCATCCCTGTCCTTGGGCTGGTTGAGGTCCCTCCTGACCCAGAACCTGCCGGAGGAGAGACACCCTGGGGACACCCTGGGGACACCCTGGGGACACCCTGGGGACACCCCGTGCCTCAGGACACAGCATGAGGACAAGGAGCTTTCCCTGTGCTGTGTGCCTCTGCTCTGCTGGGAGCTCAGCAGCCCTGGGAATTCTGGCACAGGTGCTGCTCCTGAGCAGGGGCAGGGAGAGCTGCTGAGAGAGCCTCGGGGAGGATGTGAAGCCGTGTGCTTTCACACCTTTAGATCACCCCAAAAGCCCTCAGATCACCCCTGGCCAGGCAAGAGCAGGCAGGTTTCTCCCAGCCCTTACTGCACTGCTGCAGCAATTTATGGCTCCCATGAGCTTTGCTCGTTTAAAAAGTGCCCATGGAAGCATTTCTCATGGAAAGGCTCTCCAGCATATTTTAATGGGGAAGGAGTGAGTGTATTTATTTGAAGTGGTGCCCTAGAAAGCTGCTCCAAGCCT